GTAAAACAGTAGCAGTGTTCCTCCATGGTCTCTGCCTTGGTGCCAGGCGCCCAGGCTCCTGCTTTGGGTTCCTGTCTTGGCTTCCCTCCATGATGGTCTATAACTTGTAATCCAAATAGACTCCTCCAAGTTACATTTAGTCACAGCAACAGAAAAGAAACCCCGAATACCATCTTATCGGGTTAACTGTGAAGGTATCCATGAAGGTTCTTGTAGATAGTATTCGGTGCTCTCTCTATGGTTTCAGACATCCACAGTCTTGGAATGGAGTCCCTCTTGGATTAGGGGACTACTGTAAGTCAGTAGCACTAGGGAAAGTGGATGGGAATGTGCCCTGGACAAGAGGAAATATGGAGCCTAGCACAAAGGCAATGAGTGGCCCTTGTTGGGATCCTGATGATTTAATGAACTTGTGTGGGGCTGTGGGGAAGATGGCCCAGTGGGTAAAGTACTTTCCATGCAATTGTGAGGACCTGAGTTCAAATCCACAGACCTGCATAAAGCCAGGAGTGGTGATCCCACTGCTCCTACAGGGAGGGGGGTAGTAGAAGGAGAATCCTTGGAAACTATGGGTCAGACATCCTGGTAAACACAGGAGAGAACAACAGAGAAACTACATCTCAAAAACAAAGTAGAAGATGAGAATCAACAACCACTGTGGTCCTCTGACCTGTACCCAGGCACAGTGGCACATTCACATCCAAATTCACACGTAGAAACATGTACAGGTACATGTGCACACACACGCGCGCGCGCACGCACAGACACACACACACCACACACACATACACCACACACACACACACACGCGCGCGCGCGCGCGCACGCGCGCACACACACACACACACTTTTTGAGACAATTTGGGAAATGATGGGCTAGGTACTGGAAAATAATTAAGCCAATAATTAAGGCCAATTTGTGTCAGTGAATTAATAACATCCAGGATCTATATAAAATCTATCACGTTTCTGTTCTATATAGCTACACCCTGTGTGTGCTTCGTCTAATTTTCTATTAACAAGCATAGTTTTTATGATATACTTAGTAATTAACACATGCTATTTACATGCTTGGGGGGGATACTGTTACAATAGTTTGATACATGTATTCAGTGTGTGATGATCAAATCAAGATAATTAGCATCACTTTCTCCTCAAACATTATTTCTATGTGATAAGAACCTTCAGACTTTTCCAATTATTTTGAAGTACATGATACATTGTTGTAGACTCTTTCCCTACTCCACAGAACACCGGAAGTCATTGGTCCTGTCTCGTTATGGCTGGACACCTACTACCTGACCCTTCCTAGGCCCCTTCCCTGTTCTCATGGCCACTCTCCTCCTTCACTCAGATCAGCATTTCAGCTCCCACCAGTGAGTGCTCCCATGAGATATTGGTCTGGTTTATGCCTGATTTACATATTCAAGGTGATGTTTTCCAGTTCCATCAATATAACCAAAAGGGATAGGCTGTATTTCCGACAGCTGAATAATCTTACAGTGTGTATACTCCACACTCTCTTTCTTCATTCATGGGTTGGCAACTGCTTGGTTGGTTCACATCTCAGCTGTTGTGTCCAGTACTAGAATAAACATGGGACTATGCATATTTGTGATATGATAAATTCATTTACTTTGGAAAATCCAGCATTGGGATTGTAGAGCCATATGGAATTCTACTTTTAGTTTTTGAGAAACTTCCCTAACGATCTATACAGCGGCTGAATGATTTACATTACCCCCAACAGTGTGTATGATAGGCCCCTCTTCCCCCAAACCTTGACAGCATCTCTTTTCTATGTTTTTTTTTTTTTTAGAATGACCCTCTTCTAACTGAGGGTACTTCTCATCCTGGTTTTAATTTGCATCTCTGGTAATGGGTCATGTTGTGCATTCTCCCTGACGCTCATTAGCCGGTTCTTTATTTGAGAGCTGTCAATTCAGAAGAAAATGAGCGGCTCCTTGGAGACACATACTACAGTCTGACATTCCTCCGAAAATACTCTCCCAAGGAAATAAAGATGAACGTGACTGAAGTCAATGTACTTGGTGACAGTTGCTGCCACTGAGTGATGGGCGGAGGGAGTCCTAGCACTCTGGCATCTTTATTTCAAAAGATACTCGAAGTTTATTTTTTCTTATAAGAACATTTCTCCCTTCTCTTTCCTCCCTCCAAACCCTCCCATACACCCCTCCCCACTCTCCTTCAAATCCATGGCCTCTTCTCTCATTAATTATTACTTCATGCATATATGCATATATGTATAGGTACATGTTCTTAAATGTAACCTACTCAGTCCATATGATGTTACCTGCATGTATGTTTTCAGCACTGACCGTTTGGCAGAGATTTCCACTTGTCGCACTCTTCCCTGGGGAAGGCCACCTCTCCCTCTCCTGCTTTTCTCAGTTGCTTGTGGTTCTTTGTGTAGAATTGAGTCCTCATGGGCTTTTCCAAGTCTACTTTGTCATGTACGTAAAGTCTCACCAACGTGACTGCCTAAATGGGAGCTGATACTTTTTTATTAAAAAAAAAAAAAAATCTCTTCCCAGGGCTTGAGAGGTGGCTGAGTGGTTAGGAACACTGCAGCTCCTGCATAGGACCCAAATTTGATTCCCAGCACCCACATAACCATCTGTAACTCCAGTTCCTGGGAATCTGACACGCTTTTTATGCTTCTACAGGCACCAGGCACCCACATGGGACACATACATACATACATGCAAAATATTCCTATATGGGACACATGTATGCATGCGTGCAAAATACTCCTATACATAAAATAAAATGAAACTTTAAAGGTTTAACTTCCTCCAATAAATAAATGCAGATATCACCCATCTTATGGTCTGAGACAAAAACTTAATTACAGAAGGTCTTAAATATTTTTGTGTTGTTTTTGTTTGTTTGGATTTGAGGGGGAGGTTGTTAGGGTTGGCAGTGTTGGGATGGACCCTAGGGCCTTGGACATCCTAAGTAACTGGTCTACCATTGAGCTATACCACCCAATGAATAAAGCATTTTTTCTTGATGTACAAAAAATTTATTATCATTCCCTTATTATTTTCTATTTTTTCTTTTTCTTTTATTAAGATTTAGCATACGCGCGCACGCGTGCATACACACACACACACACACACACACACACACACACCTTATTCAGTTCTAAGCCTTTCTTTAGGATATGCCTGGGGGAAAGAGACTAGGAAGGATGGGATATTTATATACTTACCATAATTCCAGGACCCAAGATGCCATCAATTACAAAACACTGTCCAATTTAAGACATTTAAAAATGTAAATGAGTACAAATGCCTTCACTGTAGCATCAAACTACGCATTCTGGCTGCTGGTGGTGTATGCTGGTTAAGCGCTGGGTGTCTGGATTCTGACAGACCTGACCCCACCATTCATTACTTTCGTGGTCTTGGCAGATTACTTACCCTCTATAAAATCGAATTCCATCACCTGTAAAATGACCATAACCACAGAGCTGGCTGGTAAATAGTATTGACCCAGAAAGCTTGATTTTTTTTTTTAAGCTTTCTATCGAGTGAAATAAAATCCCCAAACTGACCACTTCTGTATTTCCTTTCAGTAGTCCATAACTCTCCTCAGTCGAATAATTGGATATAAAAATCTAAACCTGTTATACAAGGTCTAGCTGTCATGTTTGCCTTGTATAGCTCTGAGGGGTTTGTTTGTTGCTACTGTTTGACAGAAATGTGTGTGTGTGTGTGTGTGTGTGTGTGTTGTGTGTGTGTGTGTGTGTGTGTGTGTGTGTGTGTGTGTGTGTGTGACGATTAGTTTGTGAAGTAAGCCCAAATCCTTGTTGAAATGTGGTCAGATTTTGGAGGGCACCCAATAAACCTTAATAAAAACAGCCGCGGCCCCCTCCTAGCCCGCATGGACATAAAGTGCTGACTGAAGAGACTTTGTGTGCATTTGGATCCCGCTTCTGTCGTTCACTCCTTTGGTCGGTGTACACATGGTTTGCTCTTTCCACCTCAGACTGCCTCTTGCAGGTGACCAGAAGGAGAAGTGAGGCTGGGGAGAAGCTGTGGGGAGCTGCCCTCGGGTGTGGTGCCTGGGTGTCATTTACAGCATGGAGGGTAGACACCCTGAGCTGCTAAAAAAAAAAAAAAAAAAAAAAAAAACCCTGGGCAAGTAAAGAGAAATGTCAGGCTGTGTCCCCAAGGAACACTTATTATAGGAACGCTTGGAGGTGTTTTAGGAAACGCTTGTTGATGAGGCTCTGTGGGGTATCTCAGGAAATAAAATAGTGCAAGTTGTAGAACTGGTTCAAAGGGAGTGGGTGTGGAATACAGCAGTGAGCAGAGCGCCAGGCTGGTGGGAAGCAGAAAAGGTTTATTACTCAACGTCACTCATCCCCGGCTTCTCCCCAACCTGGGGGCTACTCCAGGGAGACATTAGCCATCAACCTGCCCTCTAGGTCCTGTACCTAATGACTGCAATTGGAAAGGAGGAGGTGGTGCTGAGTCTGGGGAGTTGGACCCGTGGGTGGGGGGGGGTTAGAGCAGTGTTTGCCATGGAAGCATGAGGACCTGAGTTCGGCTCCCCAGCCCCCAAGTAAAAGCCTGGTGTGGCAGTGCATGTTGGTAACCCCAGTACCAGTTGGGGGACAGGAAGGGATAGGGGCTGACTTGGAGACAGGAGAATTGATAGGACTTCACGGCTAGTCAGCCTTGCTGAAAAACAGCAAGCCCCTGGTTCAGTGAGAGAGCCTGTCTCAGGAGAATACAGCAGAGAATGACGGATCAGAGTATCGAGGCACCTGACCTTGTCGTCTGGCCTGCACACGTGCGTGCAAACCACACATGGACAGAGAGACACGCAATGCACATGCACACACACCTACACACACAAATATACATGCACACACTTTTTTTCAAGGGATGAGGTACAATAACAATAAAAAAGACAGGCGCGACCCATTTTTCTTCCTCTGACAGCTCTCACGTGTTCACACTTTCCAGGTGACCTTATATAAGGACTCCGGCATGGAGGACTTCGGGTTCAGTGTGGCAGACGGCCTGCTGGAGAAAGGGGTGTATGTCAAAAATATCCGCCCAGCCGGGCCAGGTGATCTCGGCGGCTTGAAGCCCTATGACAGGCTCTTACAGGTAAGGCCTCAGAGGGCGTCCTGAACCCTAGCTTCTGACCTACAGGCAGCAGCGTCCCCCACATTCTCCTTCATACCTGGACCCTTTGTTTCCCCTTCCGTTCTTGTCATTGAACTATGGCACTCGCCGTGAATGTTTGGGTAAAGAATTCTATTTCAGCCGGGCGGTGGTGGCGCACGCCTTTCATCGCAGCACTTGGGAGGCAGAGGCAGGCGGATCTCTGTGAGTTCGAGGCCAGCCTGGTCTACAGAGTGAGAGCCAGGAGAGGCACCAAAACTGCACAGAGAAACCCTGTCTTGGGGGAAAAAAAAGAAAAGAAAAAGAAAAAGAATTCTACTTCAGCTTCCTGAAGTTTCTGACACTGAGCTGTCCTTTCCCATCTAAATGTTCATTCCTCAAACCTCAGCCTAGATATGGTCTAGAGCTCATTGACCAGTCGGCCAAGCCAAACCACTGAGCCCCGGGGTCAATAAGAGACCCTGTCTCAATAAAAAGGTGGAGAGCGATGGAGGAAGACACCTGATATCTTGTCACTGACCTCCACACCCATGCTCACATGCATGCACATGTACCTGCCTGCAAAAAAAAAAAAAAAAAACACACATTCACGTGAACATGTGCCCACAACAGACACGCGCACACACACATAAACAGTATTACTATGGATGAATGGGGACACGATGGGGTAGCAGGTGTTCACAAGGGGACCAGGGCGGTGTGGGTAAGCTACCCATTTTGAACCTATCCAGTCTTTCATAACTTTAGCACATCCCTATGGGACATAAGTTCTTAAGTTTGATCTGTTGCTTAGAAATGATGGTCCAGCCAGGGCCAAAGGTATCTGGAAGGACAGGGTTAGATCAAGCTACCTGTGGTGAGCATCTAGCCAGACGGGGAAGAGAACCGTGGAGGAATTCTGGCAGCATCAGGAAAGAGGAAAATATTAGAGGCTCAAAGCAGAGTGAAGCAGGGTGTGTCATGAGAAACAATGGCCCCACTCGAATTGGGCTTCGGGTACTAGAGTAGCCAGCAAGCCTGGCTTCGTGGGCAGCGACAGGGATTTGGGTCTTTGACATGGGGAATGATTCAAAGACAAATGTTGTTCCAGTCTAGATGGTCTTTTAATAAAAAGCCCAGAGCCAGATATCAGGGTGAAAGCTGAAAGATCAGAGAAGCAGAGCAGCCAGCCACCAGTTCTTACTTCTACAAAATCCCCAGCCTAAAAAGAGTGAGTTCCTGTTTCCTCACGCCTTATATATCTTTCTCTGCCCAGATATCACTTCCTGGGATTAAAGGCGTGTGCCACCACTGCCTGGCTCTGTTTCCAGTGTGGCCTTGAACTCAGAGAGATCCAGGCGGATCTCTGCCTCCCAAGTGATAGGATTAAGGGTGTGTGTCACCACTGCCTGACCTCTGTCTCTCATCTAGTGGCTGGCTCTGTCCTCTGATCCTTGGGCAAGTTTATTAGGGTACACAATGTATCACCACAGGCAAATCCTCCGAGTTGTCTCAATAACTGGGGACCCTTATGTGGGACACACATTTACAGAAGCGGTCTTGGTGGCTCTTGTCCAACCCACATCCAGTTTATGCTGCTGCGTATGGTCCCAGCTCTCAGAGTCCACACCTCCATTCCCCCACCACCTTGGGAGGAAGCCAGGCCTGGGGGCAGTCCCTGGGTCTTCAGGGAGTACAAATACAATGCACTTCTGTAATAGCTCAGTGTTGCTCCATGGTGGATCCTGGACAGTAAGCAAGCAAGGCAGTCCTCTCCTCTGTCCCCAAGTCACACAGACAAGAATGGAGAGTGAAAAAGAGAGAGGAGGTAGCAGCTAGCAGTTTGTACTGGGAGCCTTGACGTTTGAGGCCAAATGTCTGAGTGGTCCACCAAAGGAGCAGTGCGAGCAGGAAGCAGCCAGAGAAGAGGCAAAGATGCCCCTCCGTGTTTATCTCTAGCCAGCAGCTTGAGACATGGGCGTGGTGGTCTCGGGCCCAGGCAGGTGTCCAGAGGAGTAAACTGATAACGGCCACGGAGGCTGAGGACTCTGCAGTTCCCAGAGTTTAAAACGGGGTTCATCTAAGTGCCCAGCACTTGTCCTCAAAAAAGTGGGAAGCCAGGACTGGGCATTGAATGCAGGTGATCTTAACAAGTACTGTTGTTGGGTGGGGAATATAGTTCCATCATAGTGTTTATCTAGCACGTGTGACACCCGGAGTTCAATTCCCAGATCCACCCCCCCACCCCCAAAAAAAGGTATTGAAAGAGAATTGCAAAGGAGTGTATAGAGCATGTGTAAGTTGAGGTGGGGGTGGATTTGTTCTTTTTCTTTTTTTTTTTAATATTTATTTATTATGTATATAGTATTCTGCCTGCATGTGTCCTCGCAGACCAGAAGAAGGCACTAGATCTCGTTACATACAGGTGGTTGTAAGACACCATGTGGTTGCTGGGAATTGAACTCAGGACCTCTGGAAGAGCAGTCAGTGCTCTTAACCGCTGAGCCATCTCTCCAGCCCGGGGTTCGTTCTTAATCAAGGGAGCTAAACATCATGGTAGCCAGACTGCCTGGAACTACATCCTTGGGGAACCCTTTCCCACTGCTAGTCTAAAGCAAACACAACTCGCTGCTCTAAGCTTTGTTTTCTTCGGCTGTAAACTGGGGTAACCTTCAGCCACAGGAGACTTTGGGAGGGGTGATCTTGGTGTGGGGACAGGGGGATGGTGTCTTACTCTTCAGCTCCCAGGAGGCAGATGCAGAGGATGAATAGTGACCCGAACACCGCGTGTCACCGTGTAGCCAAACCGCACGGTCCGCCTTTGGGATTAAGCAGCTCGCCCCTGGGTTTGGGAGTGGTGGCTGCGACAGTCATTGAAAGTGGCTCTTCTTGGCCTGGCAGGTTAACCACGTCCGGACCAGGGATTTTGACTGCTGTCTGGTAGTGCCGCTCATAGCCGAATCGGGCAACAAGCTGGACCTGGTCATTAGCAGAAACCCACTGGCCTCCCAGAAGTCAATAGAGCAGCAGGCTCTGCCAGGAGACTGGAGCGAACAGAACAGCGCTTTCTTCCAACAGCCCAGCCACGGTGGTAATCTAGAGACGCGAGAGCCCACTAACACATTATAGCAGCACTTTTTATAAAGCGGGACAAAAGACAATATCTACATGGTGCTAAAAAAAAAATCCCTTTAAGATTTCTGTGACGGCCAAAGCACAGAGAATCACGTGGCATTAACCGCAAGCACAGAGGTCTTTTAAATCTCCTCCCTCACGGCTCATGTTCACACCCCTTCCCAACCTGAAGAGGTTTCTTTGACAATGACCGCTACCGTAAGTGGCAGGTCATTCTCTGCCAGGCCCAATGGTAGCAAGCAGCCCACCCCTTCCCACAACTAAGACCAGAGGAAACTTTTTACCATTCATCTCACTTTTTACAAAGAGAAACATCCGTTGGACAGTATCCTCTCTGATAATTTCCTTAATGAAATAAGTTTCTCACTATGAAGTCATTAACGTAAGAACAGAAGCAACCTGGATTTCCATAAAGCTGGCCCGGCTCGGGGAAGCTAGGATGGGTGAACTGCCAGGCCTGCCGGAGGGGGAGGGGCACAGGTATAGCATTAGGTGTTCTTAAACCGTTTCAGCAACAATGCACGTAGGGGATCATAATAGGTGGTGGTAAATGTTTTGCCCAAATATAGGAATGATTTTAACTAAGATGTATGCTATTCCCTATGCAACAGATGATCAAACAGGATATGTCTTGTGACCTGTTTTTTTTTTTTCTTTCCCCCTTAAGGACACATTTTTTTTTTTAAATAGCTGAACATCTCTGATAATGAATTAGAAGTGTGTAGTAACACTGAGAATTAGTGATATGATCCTATTTTTTAAAATCCAAGACTAAAGAATTTAAGAATGAAGAGTTTAATGACATGAGATTCACTTTATGGGTAGGCAAATAGAAACTCATCTTGCTCAGCTGTCTGCGGACGGGTCCACTGAGGGGTACACGGCACATGGACGGAACGACACGCGGCTCCCTTTGGTTCTGAGCCATGCCACTTGCTGAACTTGTAAATACATTTTTCACAAAACTCATTGCCAGTCACCACCACCCACCCCCCCAAAGCAATAAGACACCTGTGACAGTTGCTTTAAAGTTTGTGGGCAACTGTTTTCATTTGTTCAGATATTTTGAATAGCTATACTAATAACTGTTATTTGGTAAATACTAAAAAACAAAAATATAGAGCTGTATATTGATGGTAGAATGTCAAAACTATTATTTTCCAAACCTGTTCATTTTGGTCACTAGTACACCCGCACAGGCAAAGCATCCAAACACTGTGTCCTTTGTTTAAGGGAAATAAATGATTCATCTTTTTCTGTGCAAAGAAATATATGATTTCAAACACATTTCAGAACTGCCAGGGCAAGAAAGCGTAGAACAGAATCCTATTAAGGAAAAAAAAAAAATAAAATGATCATGAGTCACTTAAATATGTATTTTTGTTTGTAACAAACAAGTATTAAACTGTAAAGTATTTTTGTACAAATTTAATACTTTAATAGCATGGTATTTATCGTCTATGTATGGTTTTGGGGAATTCAAAATTGTTGCAAATATTTGTATGGAAAAAAAATCCTCTACAAAATGGAATAAACAAGTGATTTTAAAAAGCCAAAATAAAAAAAAAAAAAAAAAAAAAAAGAAAGAAAATGAGCTGCATGTCTGGTGCATTGACTGTGATTCGGAATCGCAGCCTGAGGGCTCTATGATGTTCATTTCTGCAGTTTCCCAAGGGAGGGACATGTCTCCATCAACTTGAAAGTCACTATGGATGAATGAGTGTGAAGTCAGATCTGGGTTTGGATGCCAAGCTAGTACTCATAAAGTGGTGTGCAAGCTACCTCCCGGCAGCTGGCTTCCCCACCTGTGAGACCGAAGGTCACGACCTACAGAATACGCTTTTAAATACACAAGAAAGGGCCAAGAACACCTGCACACAGCAACACCTTCAAAACCAATGCCTCCTTCACTTTAGAGGACATGACAGTTCCTAACTCGGGGGCGCAACATCTGCCCTTAGGAAACACCGCATGCATTCTCTGAGGCAGACTTACATTAATAACTAAAATGTAACCTTTAGCTATGATAGCTATCTCTTAAAAAAACTACATCAGTACTCTCAACAAGCCTCTGCAAATTTACATTCCTATTTATATAGTTACAGCCAGTGAGCACAGGGTTACATTATAAACACGTGGCAGTCAGATGACCCCCACTGAAGCTCCATTTTTTTTTTTTTTTAGAACCCAAACAACTGTTCATATTTTGATTGTACTGTTGACAGGGCAGCTTAAGGTCTGTACGGCAGCTGAGATGAATATCAAGGAAAGGAAGTGTGGTCAGAGCCAGTCCTGTCAATTAAAACACATGAGAAATGACCTCACAGGAAAGACCCAGAGTAGGTAGAACCCAAATTCAAATGCATCAATAGAAAATGGCTACTAGAAACAAAAAGAAAATGGGTACCCAGAAATCTCGGGGAGTAGTTTTCAAACAGAGTGACCGGTTTCGGTGTCGTTATATGATTACGGGCAACCAGGGAGGACAGCGTGGGAAGCGTGTGCAGCCCTGGCCACCGCTGGCATCTAGCCAGGTGCTCAGCCATGTTAAGAGAACCCTTCAGTCTTAACACACTGCGAGGAAACGGCATTCGCTTCACATCCCCATCTTGGGTTTCTGGACATGCTCTCTTCCAACGACAGCTTGCAGAATCTTGCATTAGGTTAATTATTTGTATTGTGACCCAAATAAGTACAACCATCGTACAAAAAGCCAGTTCCTGGCCAGGTGTGGCCCAGCACAAGACATGCAGACCTCTGTGATCTACACAGTGACTTCTAAGTCAGCCGGGGGCTATGTTGAGACCCAGTTACATATAATTTGTGTCAGTGTGTCCTAAGCAAAACAAGCTAATGTAAGTATCGTCTTGACGACATGAAAGCTGAATCCTATACGCCAGAAGACAGAGTTGAAGAAGCTTTATATCTACTAGTTACCATTCCCTCTTCTGTGCCCACCAACCTCCATACTACAGGAAATGTTCATCGAGGGGAACCATCCTTTCCACATAACTTGATAGTAAGGCACAGGCTCCGCCACTCCTACCCCCATGCCAATTATTTAGTCCTAAATTGTTCCTACGTGATGAGCTAAACAGTCACCCACCAGGCAATCTGATAGACTATCAAACTCTCTTTCCCAAGAGCTCTGAACTCTGACTAACCCTCATGTCAGCCAGGATACAGGCCTCCTCAATGGCTCTTCCTAGGATAAACAAGAATAAGACTGGAAAGTTAATAAACTCTCCATAATAAAAGTCGCAGAGAGCGGTCCATGAAACGTTCGAAATATCGATGAGAGAGCTGGAGAGCATGTTTGGCAAAGGTTGCAAAGGTTCCCAGCTTCCAGCTCAGGCAGCTGACAACTATCACGGGGGATTCAATGTCTCTGGGCCTCCTCAGGCATCTGCACTCACATGCATATTCCCACACATGGACACACACACGCACACGCACACATGCACACATGCACACACGCAATTAAATATAATAAAAATAAATCTTTAAAATCTCAACAAATTTCCTAAACTATTAGGACTGACCATAGGGAGAAGGGGTTCTTGGGTCATTGAAGTCAGGAGTGAAAGGCGATCCCCTGATCCACGCCTTACAGGAACAGCAGGCTGTAGGTAGAGGGCTATCTTGATCGCCACCGCCAGTTAAGCAGTAGATGACTCAGACCAACTCCTCAAGATGCGAACTCTCAAAACTGAGCCTCTGAAACACACACAGACCTGGCTATGACACAGAACGTCTAGACTAGAGAGTCTAGGCCTACAGTTACAAGGAGATGGAATCGGGAGTTTTGAAACCATCTACAAAGGAAAGCCCAAATCCAGATGGCTTCACTTACGAATTCCCCCCAACCATTTCAGGAAGAGTACACACCAATTCTGCACAAACTAGAAGAGCGTGGAATGCTTCTCACCTTGGTCTGCATGGCCAGTATACCCCGATGTCAAAACCAGGAAAAGGAAACTACAGACTCACACCTCCTCTGATTACAGATACAAAATCCTCTGATTATATCCTGATTATAAATATAAAAAGTATGACATAGATACTGCATTCTGAATCAGTGCAAACTGAACTAACAGTAGGTTTTCTCTTTTCTTGCATCCTGGAGATAATCTCTTTGTTTTAACATCCAAAAAAAAGCAAAATCATCACATTATACCATAGCCATATAACGAAGGCTAAAACTATATTGTCACCACAATAGAAATAGAAAAAACAATTGACAAAACACCCTTCGTGGTAAAAAAAAAAAAAAACCAACAAAAAAAAACCCAATGAACTAGCAATGAAGAGAAATCCTGGCCTTAAAGAGCACACACACACACACACACACACACACACACACACACACACACACACACCCCACTGCTAAGAACAGTGGTAAGACTTAATTCTTCCTCCAATGCTATTTGGACACTGAACACTCTCTCCCTCGCCCAAGGCTGTGTGTTTAAGGCTTGGTCTCCAGGGTGGTCCTGCTGGGAAGTGCTGTGGACTTTTAGGACGTCAGGCCTTGGGAGATGTCTTTCAGTGACTGACGATGCTCTTGAAGAGGATGTAGGGCTCAGTCCTGCCTAGCTGCTCACCTTGGTTCCTGGTTCACAAGGTGAGGAGTTTGTATTTCTACACACTCCTACCACGATGAACTCCAGGCGCCATCACTGGAGTTAGCGACTTCAGAACTGGGAATCCAAACGAACTTTGTCGTCATAAAGTAATTACTTGTGACTCATTACAGTGACGGCCAACGAATATGCCTCCATGTCAGGAACAGGGCAAGGATGCACATTCTTGCCGCTTCTCTACGACAGTCTGCTCAGAGCGTCTAGCCAGGATGTTAAGACAAGAGAAAAACATGAAATGCATCCAGATTGGAAAGAAAGAATTAAAACCACATCCACTTGTAGATGAGATGGTCTTATACAGAAAACCCAG